AATCGGCAATAATTTCTGTTTCATCGGTGACAAAAGTCTTCCTTAAATTAGTATGACGTTAAACACAGCACCTAATACTCTCGCAATAATGCAAGTAGCGCTATCTTGCAGATTTGGTCCATCGGACTGAATTACTCACGAGACATTGTCTGTTCACAAGACTATGCTTTATCAGTGTTAGGCCAATCTTATGCTATGTGAAGGTTGACTAGTGTAAAGAAATTGTGGACTACAGACAGCAAGCAGGCTTACTGGTTTTCCATCGAATGGATACCCTGCACCAGCTACAAATGCAAGAATTCAGGATAGAATTGCAATGAAAGATGCAACAAGTAAGTTAACAAATCTCAAAGGATCTCGAGAAAATTGAGCAAGTACCAGATAAAAGAGTAAAGATTACGGGAACGAGACAACCATTCTTGTCATGATTGAAGAGCAGACAAAAGCGAACCTACACATTAAAGGTGACCTCACTGGTCTGTAAGGGAAAATATAAGCGATGATGATGTGGTGCCCATCCTATCATGATGGGACAGTAACGTAAGCATAGACCCAAAGTGACGTCGTGGAAATCATACTAACAGGCAAAAACAGGTAGTATTGGATATGACTTGATATCTACAAGTTATAACATGTTTGAACTACCGTTTCCTCGCAAGTCCCTCCCATGACACCCAGAAGCAACTGGGAGCTGGTTCGGGATGTTCTCCTGGAGGGTTTTGTGAGATAAACTTCTTTATTTTTCCCTATTGTGCTGTTTACCCTTACTTCTATTGTTCACCCTCCACAAGTTACTGCATCCTTGCTTCGAAGGCATTCATTCAGTTGGAGTTGCTTTTAAATGGTTCTTGAAGAATGAACTTGCACGGGGAGATGGAGTTGCCCTCATTGGCACCCTGCCTTTGCCGTGATACCTTCAGCGCTCATCTATCGCAGGCAACAATAGCAGGAATTCCAAGGGTTCTGTCACGACAATCATTCCTAAATTATCATATCTGTAAATAGCGATAAATGATTCGGTTACAATCCTTTCCGTTGGTCAAACTCGAGTGAGCGATGAAGTTTTTACTATAATCTTTTTTTTTCACGTGCATCTACAATCAGTGCCCTTTAAAGAGCTACGTATTCCAAAGTCAAGAACATCGGGACGCGAATTTGGTAGTACACACACACAGAGCACTTGCCCTAGCCGATCAGCAATATTTAGCATACTCTCTTTGAAGGCAGTTCCTTTCTAATATTTCAACTAGGGGACATTGTGTCCCAGAAATATGTATGTAGTAGATATCATTTATAACGCTTATTGCCCACAGAAACGACTAGAGGTCTGATTCCGGTAGAATCGTTCTATTGTGGTCACATCTGATTAAATTGCCTCTCGCTGAAGCAAAAACCCTCTTTACTTGAGAATAGACAAGGCATTCGCTCTAGTTTCGAGAAACCTCGGAACAGGTTATCAGTCCTACAGATGCCCTTAGGACGACTGAGCATTTTCTACCTTTACTTCTAGTTTCTAGATTACATATTTGTTGGGACTTCTATTCATTGTGATCTTCCATTATTCAATTTTCGTCATAAAGAAACGGAGGGGTGATAGTTGTTGATCAAACTTTTTTCTAAAATGTGTTCTCCATTCGTTCCACAATTACATAAAGCTCCAGTCGATTTACAGTTAAGTACTTTACAGTATCTTTTTTTTCAGCAGTATGAAGATAGAACCATTCTCAAGATATTTAGACAAACAAAGGGTGAAGCGTTCTCATCGAAAAATGATCGACTCGCAGGATGCAGGAAAATGAAGAGCCATCGAAAGACCACGCGCGGGAGGTTGGTTCCACTGCCAGAAGCTTGTCCACTATAACTCTTTGCAATTTCCAAATAGTGAGCGCCTTTGAATGGTTCTGTTAAGAGGAATTTCGTCCAACTCAGTTACCGTCTCGATAAGTCCAAATTGGTAAATTAGCAACTGTAACTTTATGACGAGGAACATTGTACCCTCCCCTCGACTAAAAGAAATGTTGCGACAACCTGTTGCGCTCATAAGTATCACATTCAGAATGCCTCAGAAAATGCAAGTATGGATGAAAAGGATAAAGTTTTTGGCGTTGATCGATCCCGTCTGAGGGATACACCCCGGCACTCGACTTCCATTCAGAGTCGTACTGGCGTAACGAGTGCGTATGTGGCCTATACAATAACTTGCGGGGTGGCGGGCCGATGTACAAATCAGTGCTGTTTTCCTCCGAGGCGAGTCTGGTACCAACTAACCGCCACCGGAGGGATGAAGGGCTCGGCTGGCCTGGGCGGATATCGATCCCTGATCATACTTATGAGATAGTGCGCCACTTGCCACTACACCACTTCCGTAAGTATGTAATTGATGTCAATGACAAACTCTATCACCCTCCGATGTTCATGATTTGTATCGCTTAAGCGCAAATGTTATACTCAGATATTTCAGAATGATCGATGAAGATAATGATGAACTAGGCTCCTTCAATATGTTTTGTTGCTGTCAAAGTCAGTCTTCGTACTTTTGATTCACTTTTGATTCATAGTAAGGTCAAATAGTTAGCACGTCAGCAAAGGCCCAAAAACCGTACAACAATTCGCTTACTAGGCTGCCGGTAGATTCGCATTCTTGTAGAGATTATTGAACTTCGCAGTGCAATTCGACTTTTAGAAATTAGTTGTCTCTGATTCTTTCAAACGTTTGCTCAGTTCGTTTCGATTAAAATACTTTTGTACAAATCGCTAATCGATTTCTCAGCTGTCGAGTACTTGTTGCTGTTGTTGTAGCTGAAGATATATGTTCTATTGCACGACAATTTCATAGCGTTGGCTATAAAAGAACCGCTAAGTCCAATACAAAATGAGCTCGATAATTTTTATTCGGTGGAAGATCTACCTCAAGCCATCACGCTGATGTTGTCACATCAAGTGAAGGGGTTGTAGACGATGCAATCACCCCTTTTCCTTTCTTAGTAATAACTGTTTCCTCAGAATCGTCAGATGTGGTCGTTCCTTCCTCGGTAGTCATGGTTGTAGCCTCAGTTACATGAGTCTTGCCATGCTTTTTCTCTTCACTTGATTCAGAAGAGCTTGATGATGATGATGAAGAAGAGCTGCTGCTATGCTTGTGGTGCTGAATGACATGTACGTTTTATGTAAAATGTAGTGGAGTGCTCATTAAAGCCAAAAAAAGTACAAGAAAAAAGAGGAAGGCACAATACCTTGTGGTCCTTGTGATCCTTGTGGTCCTTGTGGTCCTTGGGGCCCTTGTGGTGGTCTTTGTGGTGGTCTTTGTGGTCTTTATGGTGCTTGTGATGTTCGTGGTGCTTGTGGTGCTTTTCCTTGGAACCGCTGTCCTTGCCGGGGAATGCCAAGACAGCCGCTAGGACGACTACAATTAGCACCAGTGTGATCTTCATCGTGTGTTCCAGATTATGGCTTCACTGCCAATTTATACCGCTGATCGTGATCATTATTTATGTTTATGGCTCATCTTTCCTACCTTGCCCACTAGCCTCTCATCCCACATTACGTGATAGTTTCGATAAATTTATGTCTCCTCCAATGCTCCTTCCTTCCTTGTCAAGTTTGCAGCCGTCTTATCATGATGGTCGGCTCGAGCTTCCCATTTTTTTGAATATTCCCTTTCTTCGTAGATGCAAAAGATTCTCGCGATTTATATCGACCTAATTATCCATGCCAGCATATGTTTACATTCCAACTTTTTTGGTAGCGAAGCGATTATCAAGTTTCTCTGTTAACTGTTTAGTCCATACGATGAGTCAAACATTCGATAGACGTGACTTTTGGGGGAGATAGGGAGGGTGAGGGGGGGGGG